TCTATCTTATTTGATTGTTCTTGTAGCACTTTCCTGACTTCTTATTTTTCTCAATTCCATTGTAAAGTGTTTTGAAGCATTTTATATTCATTTTTCTGAATTCCTTCTCAGGCATTTCCAAGGCCTGGCCTCCTTCCAGAATGTAGTCCATAGAGGTCTAACTCTAGTTCATTTGTCTCAGACATTTTATCTTGTTTCTGGACATTTGCTGATATGGTCATCTGCTTTTGCTTCTTGGACATGTTTAGTGTTTATCTGTGACCTTAACACTTAATTGAGTATGTGTTTTGGTGTTTTTTATGCTTTCTGATTGCTTCCAAGTAGATGTGATCAGGATGTGGGCTTCCCTTTTCACTCTTCTTATTGCTTAACTCAGAGTAACTTTCACAGATTTTGTCTGCCTCCTTGGTATATGGCAGTTGGTATTGGTTCTTGCCTGGGTTTTGATGTTTTATAGAGCGTGACTGTAGCTTGACTATATGGCAGCAGTTGCTGTCTCTTCTTGGGTAATATATGAAGAGAAAGAGTCCCCCAAAGGTAGAAGGGGGAGCATAAAACAACAAAACAGCACCAGCAAAAAAAAAAAAAACAAGAAAAAAATCCCCCAAACAAAAACAAAAACAGAACTAGACTGAATGCTGTAGTCTATAATTGCAGAAAAGGGAAAGGAGGGGTGAAGAAGAAAAGAAAATCTGTAGCCTAATATGAGTATGACTTTAATGTCCTCTCTTCAGTGTCTTGCCTTCAAAGCTGCCTGAGAGATTTCAAGATGCCACTGTTGGTTGTTATGCTATACCTCAGGATTTTGATTTAATTTTTGTCCTGTTTTGTTTTTAAACTCTCTTTCCCTCTCTACACCCCTGTCCTAGCCTTTCCCATATTTAAAAAAAAAACAAAAACGAAACAAGAAAACAGTTCAGGGCCAGCTCTTGTCTTATGATTATCTGGGCACATGTGTGACAGAGAACCTACCAGTGGTGAGGGTGGGGATGTCCACCCACTCAGGCACCCCCTCTAGTCACCAGAATGGAGGTGCGCAAACGGGGGGGGGGGGGGAGTTAGGGGGGCAATGAACAGATACCAAAAAAAAAGAAAATCAGAACAAAGCAAAACCGACCAAGTGTATTGTCCACTTTTGCGCCAAGGTTCCTGCGGCATTTTTCTAATGGTGTGTCTGCTCCCTGGCTTGGTCTTGCCATTTGGTCTCTCCCACATTGTTGGCTCCCAGTCTCCAAGCCCGGCAGATTCAAAAGTATGTGATTTCTTACTTCTGCTTCAAGTTCCACTAACTGTAAGCCTTCAAACTTTTAAAATATTCATATGAGTTTTGGAGCTCTGCCCTGGATCTGCTTTGCCTGGTATTCCATGGTATTGCTTATGGCGAACCTCACTGCACCTCCACCCTAGCTGCCATCCTCCATTTTCTTTTAATTCCATTTTTTCAACAACAGAACAGACACCAATTCCAGTGTCTACATGGAGAATTCTGTAACAATGATGACATTATGCAAGTTGTGCAATGGTTCTCCTTGTCTGGGTTGCTCCTCACTCATCAACATAAACTCACTGCCCCACTAAGCTTCCTATCTAGTTTTTTTTTTTTTAATTGTTGTCAATTTGATCCCATGTAGTTTTAAAAATGCTATGGGGTCAACTTTTTTTTTAGGGAGTGCTAGTCACACTCTAGGATAAGCACCAGACTGCTAACCACAAGGTTGGTAGTTTAAGCCCACCAGCTGCCCCTGGGGGATAAAAGGGGGGTTTTCTGCTTCTATAAAAATTTACAGCCTTAAAAACCCTACACAGGGTCACTGTGAGTCAGAACTTAGGCAATAGCACACAACAACAACAACTACAACAACAGTTTTTAAAAGAGCATAATGCTCAAATTTGGGTTGCTAACTACAAGGTTGGTGGTTCAAACTCACCAGGTGCTCCAAGGAAGAAAGATGAGACTGTCTGCTCCCCTAAAGATTTCGTTTCAGAAACCCCATAGAGTTATTATGAGTCAGAATTGACTTTATAGTAATGAGTTTGATTTTGGGTTTTGATTGTTTTGTTTTAAGAGGATTGTTGTTGTTGTTGTTAGGTGTTGTTGAGTTGGTTCCAACTCATAGTAACCTTATATAGGGTTTCCAAGGAGCAGCTGGTGGGTGTGAACCATCGACCTTGTGGTTCTAAGTCCAGTGCCTATCCTATAGCACTAAACCAGGAGTCCTTAAGAAGATTGCAGGTGACATTTTTGTTTCATGGTTTAAAGATTATTTCTGAGCAATAGATTCAAGGTTCATTCACCCTTCATGGCTCCAGAAAGTGAGAAGTCCATGAACATTTGAAATCTGTTCTATATCCCCACACCCTTTGATCAGGATTCTTCTATGGACTCTTTAATCAAAATATTTGGTAATGGTAGCCAAGTACCATCTGGTTCTTTTGATTTCGTGATAATGGAGACAGTTGTTCATGCAAGCAATCAGCAATAGGAATTTTTGTATTACTGATTCTTTCTCTTCCTTTCTTGTTCCAGGAATATAGAGATCAATTGCAGCAAGGATGGCCAGTGCTTGCAAGCATTAAAGATCCTGAGCACTATGCACAGAATTAGGAGACAGAACAGAAACACTGAACACATTATTACACCAATTAATGGGGTTGTCCCATAAAACCATTACCTTTCTGCTCCCATAAAGATTTATTGTTGTTGTTATGTGCCATGGAGTCGGTTCCAACTCATAACGACCCTGTACAGGGTTTCTGAGGCTGTAAATCTTTAAGGGAGCAGATAGCCTCATCTTTCTCCCATGGAACTGCTGGTAGTTTCAAACTGCTGACCTTGCAGTTCACAGCCCAATTTGTAACCACTACACTACCAGAGCATCTTCCCACAGAAATCCTATATATAATGTTGCTACTATTACTAAACCTCCAAACCAAGGAATCAAATTCCATGAAGTGTTTACTTGTATGTAAGCAGCAGCAGCAACTTCCCCCTGACTTTTTTTTTATTGTAACAAATGTATCAATTACACAACTTTCGCCATTCAACTTTTTTATCGATGTACATCTTATTGACAGAAATTACAACAATCAGCTGTGCAAACCTATCCTCAGTCAAAGTGAGTTTTCTATCACAATTGACCTCCCTTCCCTTTTGCCATTCCTTCCACCCCTGATGACCACTAATTAACTTTCTGTTCTATACATTTGCCTACTCTGTTCTTGTCTTTTTATATAACTGAGGTCATACACTATCTGCCCTTTTGTGATGGATTTAATTATTCAGCATAACATCTTCAAGTTCCATTGATATTGTATAGCCTGTGTCAAGACTTCATTTCCCTTACTAGCTGAGTAGTGTTCCACTGTGTGTAGCTGCCACATTTTGTTCATCTGCTGATGGGCATTTCTGTTGTTTCCACTTTGGGACCATTGTGAATAATACTGCAATGAACATTGGTGTACAAGTCTCTAAGGCTTTGTTTTCCAGGAGTCAAATTGTTGGGTCATATGGTAGTTCTTGGGAGTGGTGGCTCCATAGGGTAAGCACTGGACTTTAAACCACAAGGTTGGTGGTTTGAGTCCACCAGGTGTTCCTCAGGAAAAAGATGAGGCTTTCTGCTACTGTAGTATGCTACAGGCTCAGAAACCGTACAGGGTCACTATGAGTCAGATCAGAGGAGGCGCTCAGAGGGCAAGGTAGATCCCCCCCAGCCCACGAGCCCCATTTGCCACTGTTCTTTTGAGAGACTGATGCACTCAGGCCATGTGCATTGCATAGTGTAACTGATAGAATAGAACATTTTAGTGCTTACTTAAAATTGAGAGAAAATGAAAACTTCTCTTGTTCTCCTTTTTTCCCTATAGAAATAATATTTCTGGAAGACATTCCTACCCTTTATTATCAAAGAAATATTGGTATAGAGTTCATAAAAATTATGACTGCTCTTCAGATGCTTTCCAGCCGCACTGCATATTAATATCATCTCGGATTCCTGCATACGAGGTACAAAGTATGTGAAAAAGCCAATGTTTTTCTGAATCAGTGTTCATCATCTAGACTAGAGGACGAGCGGTAAACATTTAGCCTCCATGTGAATACAAATGATGTTTCCTGAAAGGAAAGTGGTCTTACCTAAGTGTAAATGTAGACACCCCAAACAATTTTTAAAACTGGAAGCAAAAAAGATAACCATTAATCAATATGATTTTAAATCAGCATAAAAGGCCAAAACTGCCTGGCATTTAATCGATGTTCAGTAAATTCTTATTGAATTGAATTTGTTGTCCTTAATCTACAAAGAAGGAATCCTGGTAGTGCCAGGTAAGCACATGTTGTTGTTAAGTACCACTGAGCCGATTCTGACTCATAGTGACCCTGCACAGGGTTTCCGAAGCTATAAATCTTTATGGGAGTAGAATGCCTCATCTTTCTCCTGTGGAGGGGCTGGTAGTTTTGAACTGCTGACCTTGAGGTTCACAGCCCAATTCGTAACCACTACGCTACCAGAGCTCCTTAGGTAAGCACATGGCTGCTAACAAAAAGACTGTCAGTTCAAACCCACCCACTGGTTCTATGGCTAAACCCTGGCAGTCTGCCTCTATGAAGATGACTTCTGCTTTGTCACGTGAGGTTGCTGTGAGTTGGAATTGGCTTAGTGGCACTCAACCACAAAAAGAACAGAATTTTTTTTTATAATTGGAAATCCCAAGCAATTTGCTATTATGTAACCACTACATCTCAAAAGAAGAATGTTAGAAATCTTATTTTGTGACCTATTTAATGACAGTATGATTAAATTTATTTTAAATAGATTCTTTCTGTAATAACATTATATGCAAGGGGGCTTCCAAGAGTTTGTGGGAAAATTCTATTATCTCTCAATTCCATTTTCCTAGGAACTTCAAAGTTCATATATATATATTTTGGAGAAAATACAATTTATTGGCTATCAATATATGGTACAAATAACAAGATACTCAGATAAGTTAGATACCTTTTGAAGGAAAGAAAGAAGATTCTCTCAGATTCACAATTTTCAATGTTAGGTGTTAAGAAGCTCCCCAGAGCTCTTTAAGAAAGGAAAAGCAACTGAAGATGTCAGCTAAGTTCTGAATTTGGTTACATTATTCAAGTTTTGGCCTGAGACATCTACGTTGGCTGAGAAGCCAGGCAGTCAGCATAACCCTGCTTTTGCTCCTTTTTGTTCCAACAATGTTTCATGGCAAGAAGCCCATTGCTGTCATTTCTTGGAACTGCTGAGGTAGAAATTGTTGTTTGAGGCTAAGGACTTTACTTCAGGCTGGAGGCAGGTATCTTCCTTGGTCAGGAACTGTGTCGTTTTCTGAAATTAGAAACTAAGTTTGCTGGGACAAAGCAGCTAAATCATTCCTACCAGGCCTTCCCTCAGGATCCCTAATGCTTTAGTCTTTCTACTTCCTGAAAGGTCTTGCCTATCCCCTCTCATGTTCTGTAATGGGGGATGGAAATGAGGATGGTATGTGTCAGCTTTATAAAGAGCCAAATTCGATGAGCTGTCAGTTACCTGGAGGAAACAGACTGCAGCATCCACAGAAACGGTGTCACATTTATATTTTTGTTGTTAAGTACCATTGTGTTGATTCCAATTCATAGCAACCCTGTACAGGGTTTCTGAGGAACATCGGATGGGTTTGAACTGCCTATCTTGTAGTTTACAGTCCAGTACTTATCCTACAGTGGCATACCAGGATATTTATTCTATGTTGTTGTTGTTGTTGTTGTCAGGTGCCATCGAGTCGGAACCGACTCATAGCGACCCCATGCACAGCAGAATGAAACAATGTCCAATCCTGGGCCAACCTCACTACCGCTGCCACACTTGAGTCCATCAATGATGCCACCTGGCCAATCCATCTCGTTAGAGGTCTTCCTCTTTTTCTCTGACTCTCCACCCTACCCAGCATGACATCCTTCTCCAACGATTGTTTCCTCCGGACAATATGTCCAAAGTAGGAGAGACGAAGCTTAGCCATCCTGGCCTACAAGGAGCACTCTGGCTGCACTTCTTCCAAAACAGGTCTATTGGTTCTTTTGGCAGTCCATGGCACTTTCAGTATTCTCCTCCAACACCACAACTCAAAGGCATCAATTCTTCTATGATCTTCCTTATTCACTGTCCAGCTTTCGCATCCATATGAGGCTATTGAAAATACCATGGCCTGGGTCAGGTACACCTTAGTCCTCAAGCTGACATCTCTGCTCTTCAATACTTTAAAAAGTTCCTGTGCAGCAGATTTGCTCAGTGCAATACGTTGTCTGATCTCTTGACTGCTGCTTCCGTGAGTGTTGATAGTTGATCCAAGAAGAATGAAGTCCTTGACCACTTCAATCTTTTCTCCATTGATAAGAATGTTGTTTACTGGTCCAGTGGTGAGGATTTTTGTTTTCTTGACATTGAGATGTAATCCATATCGAAGACTGTGCTCTTTGATCTTCATAAGTAAATGTTTCAAGTTCTCTTCACTTTCAGCGATCAAGGTTGTATCATCTGCATATCGCAGGTTGTTAATGAGTCTTCCTCTAATCCTGATGTCACGTTTTTCTTCATAGAACCCAGCTTCTCGTATTATTTGCTCAGCATACAGGTTGAATAAGTATAGTGAAAGGATACAACCCTGTCTCACACCTTTCCCAATTTTAAAACATTCAGTGTTCCCATGTTCTCTTCGAACAACTGCTTCTTGGTCTAGGTACAGATTTCTTAGAAGTACAATTAAGTGTTCTGGAATACTCATACTTCTCAATGTTGTCCATAGCTTGTCATGATCCACACAATCGAAAGCCTTTGCGTAGTTAATAAAGCACAGGTAAACATCCTTCTTATATTCTCTGCTTTCAGCCAAGATCCATCGGACATCAGCAATGATATCTCTCGTTCCACGGCCTCTTCTGACTCCAGCTTGAACCTCTGGAAGTTCTCTGTCAATGTATGCTTGTAGCTGTTTCTGTATTACCTTTAGCAAAACTGTATTACCTTTATTCTATATTCTGTATTACCTTTATTCTGTATTCAAATATAATTCCAATTTCTAACAAAATGATTGTTCTTGAGGAATGAAATCCCTTCTCTTTTGGAGCATGTAGGAATAGAATCTAATCAATCACAGTCAACTAACTCAGTGGGGGTCCACATAAAAGCAAGATCAGGGCTTTGATCTCCAAGTGGGCCACAGACAGGCTCCCCAATTGTAAAAGATTCCTCATGTTGGGCACAGAGGTTAGTTGGCAACAGAGAATGGGTGAATAAACTGGCATTCAATAATTTTTCTTTAAATGAGAAGACTATGTCATAATTATTTTATTATGACTGTGATGGGAGTTTAGGTAAAAAAATAGTGCATTACTATATAGTGAGTTTTCTGTTCTGCTCAAATGCAATCTTCAGAATGTGATGTAAGGAGTTGGAAAAAAAAAAAAAATCAGCTACTTCAATAACTTTCCGGTTTGTTGCTTGCTACTATGAATTACCTTTGCCACAAGGACACTTTATTTGGCTGTTAATTCAAAGAGCAGTGGTATTAATAGTGATTAAAAGTGATATTAATATTGATTAATATTAATGAATATTGGATAATTTAAAAATCCTCAGTGTAAAAATAAAAAGGGGAAACTTTAGAATCTACTAAGAAGTGCATTTTAAAACTGTATGATTTCAATTTTATTATTCTTATCTGTGTATATGTCTCTGTGCAAGGTTGTATACAAGGAAAAAAAAAGGCTAGGAGAAAATATACTAGAGTGTTAATATTATTTATCTGAGTGATAGAGTTAGACATTTATTTACTCTTCTCCTTTTATAATTAGAAACCAAAAGAATTTAAAAATAAGCTAATGGAGGGTGATGCTTATCCTCCTTCCATAATTTCTGAAAATATTAATAATTTCTAAAAAATGCATTATTTATAAATCATAGTATATTACATATCCATTACATTGCTTTCATTAATAAATATCCAAAGCTAGTGGTTTGGGTTCCTACAATGCTGGTTTCATTTTCTAGATGGTTGTGGACAGCGTGAAGACGGACGTCATTTCTGTGGTCTATGAGCACTGTGGGATAACCTTGGAGAGCCTGCTTTCTCTTATAGAAAAAGCTCTGAATGGGAGGAAGGCACAGAGCATGGGGATATTTAGCACTGGAGATAGCAGAGAAATCGATTTACTGCAAGGTAGGACAGGGGCTTGGTAAAGAACAATCAAGCAACTTTACCCTTGTGTAGTGTGTGTCCACAGGCATGACTTTCAGAGTTCAGTTCCAATTTGCTAAGGAGTATTGATGTTAATTTTATAAAGGAGAACCATTTTAACAGCAACAGCTACCAAGACCCTGCCGTGGATATGCAGTGAAGACATATGTGACACTCCCACTTGGCTGAGACCATTCATTTGTTATGGGGCATCTTTCAAACTCTACATGGCTTCCTTTCCTTTTGTGTGTGTGTTTGTGTGAAATGATAAATATTTAGAATTAACCTTTACTTCTTGTTCTTCCTCATAATACCATTTATCTCCTTTATAATTTATATCTGAAATGGAATGTTGTAACATTTTTTATTAACTCAAGAATGAGAATAAGATGGTCACTGATCCAGAAGGCAGTGTGGGTCCCTGAGTTGCCTGCCAACTTGTCTTGGCAGCTAGAATTTAGCATACTAGGAACTGTGTAACTGAGTTTTATTATTAGCTAAAACTCACTGCTTTGGGTTAGTTTTAGTTTATTGTTGGCTTTCCTGGCTTCGTTCACCTTATGCCTAGAGCAAGTTATGTTCCAGAGGCTTGAATATAGTCCCAAAATGTAAAGCAGGGGTGCATTTTGTTTGGAATTTAAATGTATAATTGATTACATGCTAATTCTTGTCAGATAGTTTACATTTAACTAACCTAAAGATTGGCAGGGTGAGCCCACACAGTGACACAGAGAAATAGAGGCCTGTTGCTGTAAAGATTTAAAAAAAAAAAAAAAATCACAGCCATCAAGTTGATTCTGATTCATGACAACCCTATAGGAAGAAAGGAACTTCCCTATATGGTTTCCCAGGAGTCCTGGTGTGGCACTGAGGGTTCATGGGAGGTCGGTTTGAACCACAAGATCAGCAGTTCCAACTCACCAGCTGCTTCTCAGAAATCCTATACAGGGTCGCTATGGGTCAAAACCTATTCAACACATAACAACAACAACATAGAGTTTCCAAAGCTTTAAATCTTTATAGAAGAAGAGTGCCTCATCTTTCTCCCAGGTGGGTTGTATCTGCCGACCTTTTGGTTAGCAGCCCATTGCTTAACCCAATGTGCTACCAGGACACCTGGTATAAAGATTATAGATGAGAAAACCGTAAGAAACACATGGGCTTATCATGAGTTGGAAGCGATCTGGTGGCAGTGGGTTCTGTTTTTCGGTTTAACTCTTCTCTATATTGTATATTGCATACAATATAGAGTTTGTATATTGCTGTGATTCTGGAAGCTGTGTTAGGGAGGTATCAATGGCAGGTTTAGTCTACGGCGGCAGGTTCACCTCATATCTAGTGACAGAGCATCTTAGAGTTGCCTCATCTCAACCTATGTGTTCTCCTGATCAGAAAGATGTTCATACTTACCTTTTTCTGATTATTACTGTTTCTTAAAACAACACTAGTAGTAAGTATCTCAGAAAACTAGTTTCCTTCTGTATCATTATAATGCTTTTCTAAAAGTCTTGACCTTGAAAACAACAACAACAATGAAATCTCTTACCCTGTCACACAAAGAAGTGCCTCCATTATGCACAAAGACCTTGAAATGGAAAGAAGGAAATCCCAGGATTCTTGTGCCAGCCTTGTTTTCATCTCATTACCTTGGCACAAGAATGCAGAGTCTCCAGGACACCTTTATACATGGCTGCAGACACCTGTTGTTTAGTGGAGTCATCACACAGAATTCCCAGGAGGTGAGAGGGAAGATGCTTCAGTAGTGTTTACCATCATTGGGTGTCTTCCTGTGCGGAATGACTTATTTATTGAGTGACAATTTGGGAAGCATTTCGACTTTGGAAAACCCCAGGACTTTCTGGATGACCCACCCTGCACCCTGTTGAGACTAATGACTCACACTGCTGCACAATGTCTGCTGCAGCGCATTATTACCCAAAGGACAGAGAACCCAAACTATTTATAGAAGTCAAATTCGGCATTATGATACAAGCTGTTTCATCTTCCTGAATTTACAGCTGACTAGTAAAGAAGTCCACCACTCATCTGTTTGTTGTACTGTTGTTGTTGTTGTTGTTAAGTGCCGTCGAGTTGGTTCCGACCCATAGCGACCCTGAATAGGGTTTCCGAGGCTGTAAATCTTTACGGGAGCAGATCGCTTCATCTTTCTCCCGCGGAGCAGCTGGTAGTTTCGAACTGCTGACCTTCCGGTTCGCAGCCCGATTCGTAACCACTACGCTACCAGAGTAGTGGCTTGTATATTGCTGTGATTCTGGAAGCTGTGCCACTAGTATTTTAAATACCAGCAGGGTCACCCATGGTGGACAGGTTTCAGATAAGCTTCCAGACTATGACAGATGAGGAAGAAAGGAAAGATGGACTACTTCTTAATATTTAGTCATTGAAAACCTTATGATAGCACCAGAATATTGAATACTGAAACATGATGAAGAGCACCAGAATACTGTCAGATATAGTGCTGGGAGATGAGGCCCTCATATTGGAAAGTACTGAAACTAAGACTGGGGAAGAGCTGCCTCCTCATAGTAGAGTTGACTGTGATGAGTAAAGTCTTTAGGACCTTCATTTGCTGGTGGGTGCAACTCGAAATGAGGAGAAACAGCTGTAAACATCCATTGAAATTTGGAACCTGGATTGTAGGAAGTTTGAATCTAGGAAAATTAAAAGTTGTCAAAAATGAAATGGAATGCATAAACATCAATATCCTAGGCATTAATAAGCTGAAATGGATTGGTATTGGCCATTTTGAATCTGACAATCACATGGTTCACTATGCCGAGTATGACAAATTAGAGACTAATGGTATCACATTCATCATCAAAAAGAACATTTCAAGATCTATCTAGAAATGTAATGCTGGCTGAGATAGGATAATATCCATATGCCTACAAGGAAGGCCAGATGATACCACTTGTTATTCAAATTCATGCACCGACCACTAAAGCCAGTGATTATGAAATTGAAGAATTCTACCAACTTCTACAGTCTGAAACTGATCAAACATGCAATCAAGATGTATTGGTAATTACTAGCAATTGGAATGCAAAGATTAGAAATAAAGAGGAAGGATCGATAGTTGGAAAGTATGGCCTTGGTGATAGAAATGATGCTGGAGATCACATGATAGAAATCTGCAAGAGCAATGACTTCTTCATTGCAGATTCCTTTTTTAAGCGACATAAAATATGACTATACACATGGATTTCACCAGATGGATACACAGAAATCAAATTGACTACATCTGTGGGAAATGATGGTGGAAAAGCTCCATATCATCAGCCAAAATAAGGCCAAGGGCAGACTGTGGAACAGACCATCCATTGCTTGTATGCAAGTCCAGGCTGAAGCTGAAGAAAATTAAAACAAGTGCTTCAGAGCCAAAATATGACCTTGAACATATCCCACCAACATCTGAAGAACATTAGCTGTATAAGACACTAATGACTGAAGACCAGAAGAGTTGTGGGATGACATCAAGGAACATCATATATGAACAAAGAAAAGGTCATTAAGAAGACAAGAAAGAAAGAAAAGACCAAGAAGAATGTCAGAAGAGAATCTGAAACACGCTCTTTAGTATGGAGAATGGAGATGCTAAAGCAATGGAAGAAATGAGGAGCTGAATAGAAAATTTCCAAGGGCAGCTTGAAAAGACAAAATCAAATATTATAATGAATTGTGCAAAGACCTGGCATTAGAAAACCAAAAGGGAAAAGGACACTCAGCATTTCTCGAGCCGAAAGAACTGAAGAAAAAAAATTCAAATATCGATTTGCAATATTGAATGATTCTATGGACAAAATATTGAATGATGCAGAAAGCATCCAAAAAGATAGAAGAAATACACAGTCACTATACCAAAAAGAAATGGTCTATGTTCAACTATTTCAAGAGGTAGCATATGGTCAAGAGCCAATGGTACTAAAGGAAGAAGTCCAAAGTGCACTGAAGGTATTGATAAAGCACAAGCCTCGGCGAATTGATGGAATACAAATCGAAATTTTTCAGTAAACTGATGCAGCACACTCATCTATGCAGAGAAATTTGAACGACAGCTACCTGACCAGCTGATTGGAAGAGATCCATGTTTGTGCCCATTCCAAAAAGAGGTGACCCAAAAGAATGCAGAAATCATGGGACAATATCATTAATATCACATGCAAGTAAAATTTCGCTAAAGATAATTTTTAAATGGTTCCAGCAGTACATTGACAGAGAACTGCCAGAGGTTCAAGCTAGATGTAGATGATGATGAGGAACGAGGGATATCATTGCTGACATTAGGTGGATTTTGTCTGAAAGCAGAGAATACCACAAATTTTGTGCTCACTTGTGCTGTATTGACTATGCAAAGATTTTCAATTGTGTAGATCATGACAAGTTATGGACAACAGTGCAGAAAATGAGCATTCCAGAAGACTTAACTGTGCTCATGAGGCACCTATATATAGACCAAAAGGCAGCCTTTCAAACAGAACAAGAAGACACTGAATGGTTTAAAATCAGGAAAGGAGTGCACCAGCGTTGTATTTTTTCACCATACTTATTCAGTGTGAACACTGAGCAAATAATTTGAGAAGCTGGGTTATATGAAGAAGAACATGGTATCATGATTGGAGGAAGACTGATTAACAACCTACGATATGCAGATGATATAACCTTGCTTGCTGAAATTGAAGAGGACTTAAAATATTTACTGATGAAAATTAAAGGCCACAGTCTATGGTATGGGTTGCACCTAAATGTAAAAAAAAACAAAAATCCTCACCAGTGTACCAGTAAATAACAAGATAAATGGAGAAAAGTTTGAATTTGTTGAAGACTTCATTTTGCTCAGATTGACCAGTAACACTCATGGAAGCAGCAGTCAAGAAATCAAATGACATATTGCATTAGGCAAACTACATATTGCATGAGACTGCACAAGACCTCTTTAAAGTGTTCAAAAGCAAAGATGTCAGTTTGAGGACTAAGGTGTGCCTGACCCAAGCCACGCTATTTTCAACAACTTATATGCATGTTAAAGTTGGACAATGAGTAAGGAAGATTGTAGAATGGATGCACTTGAGTTATGGTGATGGAGGAGACTATCAAAAGTACCATGTATTACCAGAAGAACAAACTAATATGTGTTGGAAGAAGTACAGCCAAAATGCTCCTTAGAAACCAGGATGGCCAAACTTCGTCTCTCATACTTTGAACACATTATCAGGAAGGGACCATTCCATGGAGAAGGATATCATGCTTTGTAAAGTGGAGAGTCATCAAAAAGAACAAAGACCCCCAACAAGATGGGCTTGCACAGTGGCAGCAGCAATGAGTTCAGGTGCAGCAACGATTGTGATTGGCACAGGACTGGGCAATGATTCGTTCTGTTGTGCATAGGTGTCTATGAGTTGGCAGTGACTTGATGGTACCTAAGAACAACAACAATAAAGAAATGTTGAATATTGAAACATTATGAATAGCATAAGAAGATTACTGTCAGATATACTGCTGAAAGATTAACCCCTCAAGTGGAAACAGTCAAATAAAACTGGGAAAGAGCTGCCTCTGCAAAGTACAGTTGTCTGTGATGATGCAAATGGAGTTAAGATTTTGAGAACTTCATTTGCTGATAGGACATAACTCAAGAGGAGAAAGAGCTGTAAACAACCATTAATAAAAGGAACATGGAATTTACAAAATGTGAATCAAGGAACTGGAAGTTGTAAAAAATGAAATGGAGCACATAAAGACTGATATTCCAAGTATTTTTGAGCTGAAATGGACTACTATTGACAATATTGAATTTGACAATCATATGGTTTACTATGCCATGAATGCCAAAAGAAATGACATCACATTCATCATAAAAAAAGAACATTTCAAGCTCTATCTTGAAGTATAATGCTGTCTGTGATAGTATAGTATCCATTCAGCAACAAAGCTGAACAGTTAATGCCATTATGCAAGTTTGTTCACCAACACTAGAGCCAGTAAGGATGAAATTCAAGAAGTCTATTAACTTCTTCAGTCTGAAATTGATCAAACATTCAATCAAGATGTATTGATAATTACTGGTGATTGGAATGGAAACAAAGAAAGGAAAATCAGTTGTTGAAAAACAGGGTGTCAGTAATAGAAACGATGCTGGAGATAGCATGATAGAATTTTACAATACCAACCACTTATGCTTTCTTGTATCTGAAGCCATGTACAAAAGCTCAAGATGCCTGTTCTCATATGGTCACCAGCGCAGGTCACCAGATTCTCCCTTTTTTGCCGTGTCTGTTCAGCTGTCTCACCTAGTAAGCATTCAATCGACTTTTCTGTTCTTTCATCTGAAACTCAGAGTTCCAGAACTATCATCTGTATCTGTGTCATTTGGTTTTCCATATCTTTGTTGTAAAGGGTCCATATAGCCTTCTGCCTAGACCACCATCTGGCTACCTCTCTTCTATGTTTCAGTTTTGATGACTTCCAATTTTCCTAGATTCATACTTTGTACATTCCATGTCCTGATTAATGAATGTTTGTGGCTATCTATTCTCATTTTGAGTTGTGCCCCACCAGCAAATGAAGACCATGGAAGCTTTGCTCTATTCACATCATTAAGGTCAACTCTACTTTTAGGAGGCAGATCTTTGTCAGTTACATATTGAATGCCTTCTTACCTGAGAGTCTTATCTTCCAGCACTATATCTGACAATGTTCCATTACTATTCATAAGATTTTTAGTGGTTAACCATTCAGAAGTTATGTGCTTTTCCTTTTTCCTAGTCTGTGTTAGTCTGGAAATGCCACTGAAACCTGTCCACTATGTGTGACCATTGTTGTTGTTAGGTACCATCGAGTTGGTAGTGACTCATAGTGACCCTGTGTAGAACAGAATGAAACACTGCCAGATCCTGGGCCAGCCTCACAATTGTTGTCCCACGTGAGCCCACTGATGCTGCCACTTTGCCAATCCATCTAGCTGGGGGTCTTCCTCTTTTTCTCCTTACCAAACATGACATCCTTCCTCTTTTTCTCCTTACCAAACATGACAATCCACCTTACCAAACATGATATCCTTCTCCTGTGACTGGTCCCTCCTTGACAGTATGTCCGAAGTAAGAGATGAAGTTTGGCCATCCTGGCCTCTAAGGAGCACTCTGGCTGCACTTTTTCTAACACAGATCTGTTTGTTCTTTTGGCAGCCAATGTCATTTTCAATATTCTCTTCCAATGCCATAACTCAAAAGCATCAATTCTTCTACAGTCTTCCTTATTCACTGTCCAGCTTTCACATGCATATGAGGCTATTGAAAATACCATGGCTTGGGTCAGGCACACCTTAGTGACCTGTTTGCTCTTCAACATTTTAAAAAGGTCTTGTGCAGCAGATTTGCCTAATGCAATACGTCATTTGAGTTCTTGACTGCTGCTTCCATGAGTGTTGATAGTTGATCCAAGAAGAATGAAGTCCTTGACAACTTCAATATTTTCTCTGTTGATAAGAATGTTGTATATTGGTCCAGTGGCAAGGATTTTGGTTTTCTTTCCATTGAGATGCCATCAATGCTGAAGGCTGTGCTCTTTAATTTTCATTAGTAAATATTTTAAATCCTCTTCACTTTTAGCAAGCAAGGTTGTATCATCTGCGTATCGCAGGTTGTTAATGAGTCTTCCTCCAATCCTGATGCCATGTTTTAGTTCATATAACCCAGGTTCTTGGATTATTTGCTCAGCATACAGGTTGAATGAGTCTGGAGAAAGAATAGAACCCTGTCTCACACCTTTCTTTATTTGAAACCATTCAGTGTTCCCATGTTCTGTTCGAACAACTGCCTCTTGGTTTATATACAGATTCCTCATGAGAACAAGTAAGTGTTCTGGAATACTCATACTTTGCAATGTTGTCCACAGCTTGTCATGATCCACACAATCGAAAGCCTTTGTGTAGTCAATAAAGCACAGGTAAACATCTTTCTGATAGTCTATGCTTTCAGCCAAAATCCATCGGACATCAGCAATGATATCCCTCATTCCACAGCCTCTTCTGAATCCAGCTTGAACCTCTGAAAGTTCTTTGTCAATGTATGCTTGCAGCCATTTCTGTGTTAGCTTTAGTAAAACTTTACTTGCATAGGATATCAAAGATATATTGTCTGATGATTTCCGCATTCCATTGGGTCACCTCTCTTTGGAATGGGCACAAATATGGATCTCTTACATCAGTCGGCCAAATAATTGTCTTCCAAATTTCTTGGCAGAGATGAGTGAGTGCTTCCAGTGCCGACTCACTTTCTTGAAAGATTTCAATTTTTATGCCATCAATTCCTGGTGCCTTGTTCTTTGCCAATTCCTTCAATGTACATTGCACTTCCTTCTTCAGTATTATTGGCTCTTGATCATATGCTACCTCTTGAAATAGCTGAATATCAACCATTTCCCTTTGGTACAGTGACTCTGTCTATTCCTTCCATCTTCTTTTGATGCTTTCTGCATCATTCATAATTTGCCCAGAGAATCCTTCAATAATGAAAGTGGAGGCTTGAATTTTTCCTTCAGTTTCCCCAGCTGAGAAATCCTAAGCATGTTCTTCCTTTTTGGTGTTCTGACTCCAGAACTTTGCACATTTTGTTTACATAGTTAACTTTATCTTCTCGAGCTGATCTTTGAAATTTCTGTTCAGCTCTTGGACCTCCTCATTTTTTCCATTTGTTTCAGCATCTCTACACTGGAGAGCAAGGTTCAGTGTCTCTTCTGACTCCATTTTGATCTTTTCCTTCTTTCTTGTCTTCTTAATGACTTTTTGCTTTCTTCCTATATGATATTCTTGATGTCATCCCACAACTTTTCTGGTCTTTGGTCTTCTTAGTGTTTAATGTATCAAATCTGTTCTTCAGATGATCTCTCAATTCAGGTGGAATATATTCAATGTCATATTTTGGCTCTCGTGGACTTGTTTTCATTTTCTTCAGCTTCAGAGTGGTATTTAAAAATACTGTAGGCATAGCTTCCATAATCACAACAACACAAGTGCTGGATTTTTATATTAGGGTCTTTAAAAAAGTCATGGGAAAATGGAATTAAAAGATAATGGAATTTTTTTTGAAGTCCCCTCATTCTCATGGGTCTGTTTCCCTAATGATTATGGCTGCTTGGTCTAATCGCTACAGCTTTCATATTCTTGGATTTAGATCATAAATGTTGCTGTTGTTAATGCCTATCAAGTTGGTTCCAACACATATTGACCCTGTATAGAGTTTCCAAGGAGCAGCTGGTGAATTTGAACCACAGTCCTTGTAATTCAAACTGACCTTGTGGTCCAGTGCCTCATCCCACAGTGCCACAGTGCCAAATGGCTATTGAAAAGTTTTATTTTCTGAAGAATGCCAATTAGAAGCAACTTTCTGTTGAGAAAGAAAACTGCCTGGAGGCAACATAAAATTTTCCAGTAATCAGCTCCCTTTCCTATAACCCCCACGCATCACCATCTTCGTTGACATGAACCACATGTCTCTTCCTTTCAGAGACACAATTACCTAAACCTATATGCCCAATTAATCCTGATTGTGAAGAGGAGCCTTGTCACTGTGTTGTTGAGTGGTACCTTTGTGCTCTACCATGCTCAGCATCGCAGAAGAGATGCTCTACAGATCTTCACACCACAGTTACAAACACATATTGACATCTTCAATTGGTGGTCAGATTTTCCCTAACTACCAAGAGCTTCGTTCATGACAATGTTATAAATCAATGTGACATTTTGGTTTTTTTCCCTCAGGTTATAAAATTGGTCTTCAAAATTTACTGTGTCCTGAAGTGAGAGACTTCTGGGAGAAATTAGGAAGCTTTGTGGCCACTGGAGAAGAAGGGGGTCATGTGGCCCTTTTTGTGCCACTTGCAGCATCAGGTCAGTTTTGAATAAACTACAGAAAAATAGTGATCCAAATTTACTTTCTCATTATGTGGTGTGAGTTTGTGAAATGCCCTCTGATCAAATGACTCAGTTCCCTTTGCTCTATTTATTTCTCTCTTTATACTTCACTGACCCAGGGATTTGGGAGAAGAGAAAGGTTGATGTTAGTGGTCAGAGTCACCTGTCCCTGCAGATACAGTTATTAATGACAGTAGCCAGCAGCAGTATTCCTATTTATTCTGGAAAACTCAACTTGCGCTATACATATGGAGGTAACTGGCCACCACAGGAATTATAATTTGTCAGTCAGAGGAAACTCTCCAAGTTGATATGATGATGACTTTGTTTTGAAACTTAAACCTTAATAAGGCACTGGACTTGAGTTCCACTTATGGCACGTTTTATCTGTGTGACCTTCAGAAAGTTTGTGCATTTCTGTTTTCTTGTCTTAAAGTTAGAATAATAGTACTTTCAGATTGTTGTACTGTGGTGGCTTGTGAGTTGCTGTAATTCTAGAAGCTATGCCACCAGTATTTGAAATACCAACAGGGTCACCCATGGTGGACAGGTTTCAGATGAGCTTCCAGATGAAGGCAGACTAGGAAGAAGGAATGACAAACTATTTCCGAATATTTAGTCACTGAAACGTTATGAATAGCAGAGAAACACTGTCAGATATAGTGCTGGAAAATTGAGCCCCTCAGGTTAAAGCACTCAAAATGCGACTAGGGAAGAGCAGCCTCCTCAAAGTAGAGCTAACCGTGATGATACGAATGGAGTAAAGCCCATGGGAGTAAGACCCTCAGGACCTTCATTTGCTGATGAGGTACAACTCAAAATGAAGAGAAACAGCTGTAAGCATCCATTAATAAGCAGAACATGGAATGTACAAAGTATGAATCTAGGAAAATTAGAAATTGTCAAAAATTAAATGGAACACATAAATATTGATATCTTAGGCATTAGTGGGCTGAAATGGACTGGTATTGGCCATTTTGAACCTGACAAACACATGGTTTACTATGCTGGGAATGACAAATTGAAGAAGAATGGTGTCAAAAAGAACATATCCAGATGAGTCATGAGGTACAATGCTGTACGTGATAGGATAATATCCATGTGCCTACAGGGAAGACCAGTTAATACCACTATTATTCAAATTTACGCACCAACCACTAAAGTCAGTGAGGATGAAACAGTAGAATTCTACCAACTTCTTCAATCTGAAATTGATCAAACATGCAATCAAGATGTATTGATCATTACTGGTAATTGGAATGCAAAGTTTGGGAACACATAGGAAGAATCAGTAGTTGGAAAATATGGCCTTGGTGGTAGAAATGATGCTGGAGATCATATGATAGAATTCTGCAAAAATCAATGTTTGTTCATTTCAAATACCTTTTTTAGAAAGCATAAGAGACAACTATACACATGGACCTCGCCAGAGGGAATACATAGAAATCAAACTGACTACATCTGCAGAAAGAGACTGTGGAAAAGCACCATATCATCAGCCAAAACAAGGCCAGGGGCAGATTGTGGAACAGACCATCAATTGCTCATGTGTAAATTCAAACTGAGGCTGAAGAAAATGAAAACATGTCCATGAGAGCCAAAATATGACATTGAATATATCCCACCTGAATTTAGAGATCATCTAAAGAACAGATTTGATACATTAAACACTAAAGACTGAAGACCAGAAGAGTTGTGGGATGACATCAAGAACATCATACATGAAGAAAGCAAAAAGTCATTAAGAAGATAAGAAAGAAGGAAAAGGTCAAAATGGATGTCAGAAGAGACACTGAAACTTGCTCTCCAGCATAGAGATGCTAAAGCAAATGGAAGAAATAAGGAGGTCCAAGAGCTGAACAGAAAATTTCAAAGATCAGATCGAGAAAATAAAGTCAACTATTACAACAAAATGTGCAAAGTTCTAGAGTCAGAACACCAAAAAGAAAGAACACGCTCAGCATTTCTCAAGCTGGGGAAACTGAAGAAAAAAATCATGCCTCGACTTTCATTATTGAAGAATTCTCTGGGCAAATTAATGAATGATGCAGAAAGCATCAAAAGAAGATGGAAGGAATATACAGAGTCACTGTATCCAAAGGAAATGGTTGATGTGCAACCATTTCAAGAGGTAGCATATGATCAAGAACCAATGATACTCAAGGAAGAAGTCCAAGGTACATAGAAGGAATTGGCAAACAACAAGGCACCAGGATTTGATGGAATAAAAATTGAAATCTTTCAAGAAAGTGAGGTGGCACAGGAAGCACTCACTCATCTCTGCCAAGAAATTTGAAAGACAACTGTCTTGCCAACTGATTGGAAGACATCTGTATTTGTTCCCATTCCAAAGCGAGGTGACCCGACAGAATGTGGAAATCATCAGACAATCTCTTTGATATCCCATGCAAGTAAAGTTTTAATAAAAGTAATACAGACATGAATGCACGCATGCATTGACAGAGAACTTCCAGGTTCAAGCTAGATTCAGAAGAGGCCGTGGAATGAGGTATATCATTGTTAATGTCCGATGGATCTTGGCTGAAAGCAGAAAATATCAGAAAGATGTTTACTTGTGCTTTATTGACTACACAAAGGCTTTCAACTCTGTGGATCATGACAAGCTATGGATAACATTGTGAAGTATGAGTATTCCAGAACACTTAATTGTTCTCATGAGGAATCTGTACATGGACCAAGAGGCAGTTGTTCGAACAGAACATGGGAACACTCAATGTTTTAAAATTAAGAAAGGTGTGTGACATGATTGTATTCGTTCACCATACTTATTCAATCTGTATGCTGAGCAAATATCCAAGAAACCATTATATGAAGAAAAACATGGTTTCAGGATTGGAGGAAAAGTCATTAACAATCTGTAATATGCAGATGATACAACCTTGCTTGCTGAAAGTGAAGAGGACTTAAAATATTTACTGATGAAGAGCAAAGAGCACAGCCTTCAGTATTGATTGTATCTCAATGTAAAGAAAACAAAAATCCTCACCACTGGACCAATAAACAACATTCTCATCAATGGAGAAAAACTGAAGTTGTCAAGGACTTCATTCTTCTTGGATCAACTATCAACACTCATAGAAGCAGCAGTCAAGAAATCAAACGACTTATTGCATAAGGCAAATCTGCTTCACAAGACCTTTTTAAAGTGTTGAAGAGCAATGATGTCAGCTTGAGGACTAAGGTGTGCCTGATTCAAACCATGGTATTTTCAATAACCTCATATGCATGTGAAAACTGGACAGTGAATAAGGAAGACTGTAGAAGAATTGATGCTTTTGAATTATGGTGTTGGAGGAGAATATTCAAAGTGCCATGGGCTGCTAAAAGAACCAATAGATCTGTGTAAGAAGCAGTGCAACCAGAGTTCTCCTTAGAGGCCAGGATGGCCAAAGTTCATCTCTCATACTTCGGACATATTGTCAGGAGGGACCAGTCGCTGGAGAAATATATCATGTTTGATAAGTTGGAGGGTCAGAGAAAAAGAGGAAGACTGCCTGCAAGATGGACTGGCAAAGTGACAGCATCAGTGGGCCCAAGTATGGTAACAATTATGAGGTTGGCCCAGCATCGGGCATTGTTTCCTTCTATTGTGCATAGGGTCGGTATGAGTAGGTACTGACTCCGTGACACCTAACAACAATAACAACATGTATAAACAAATACTGGTGTGGCAATGCAGGTTTAATGTGCTGGACTACAATGTAGGTTTGAACCACAAGGTTGGCAGTTCAATCTCACTGGCCGCTCCTTCAAAATCCTATATAGGGTCACTATGAGCGAGAACCTACTTGACGATATTTAATAACAACTACAATACAAAACCAACAACCAACATCAGTCTGAATGGAGAAACTGAAAGCATAGTCAATATTATGCTGGAAATCTTAAACCTATAAGACAAGAAAGGGAAATGAAAGGCATCCAAATTAGCAAGTCCTGGTGTGGTGCTGTGGGCTAATGCACCAGACTGATAGGCCATTTGAACTGCAAGATCAGCAGTTCAAGCTCACCAGCTGCTCCTTGGAAACCCTATATAGAGTTGCTATAGGTCAGAACTGACTTGATAGCACTTAACAACAAAAACAAATCAGTAAAGAAAAATCTAATCAGAGAAACAAAACACCTATATAAAGAAAACTACAAAACACTACTACAAGCAACAAAAAAAGACCTAGAAAAAATGGAAAAGTATACCATGCTCATGAATAGGAGAATTTAACATTGTGAAATGTCAACACTTCCCAAGGCAATCTATAGATGTAATCCCAATCCACATTCTAATATCATTCTTTAAAGAGATGGAAAAGTTAATCATTAACTATATGGAAGGAAAGAGATCTTGGGTAAACTAAGTATTACTAAAAAAGAACAAAGTAGGCAGCCTCTTATGGCATGATCTCAAAACCTACTACACAGCCACAGTTGTCAAAACATCTTGGTACTGGTACAATGAAAGATACACCATGGAACAGAATTGAGAATCCAAAATTAAATTCATCCATCTACCATCAGTTGTACTTCAACAAAGGGCTAAAACACATTAAATGTGGAAGAGATATCTCTTCAACAAACAGTGTTGGCAAAACTGGAAAAACATTTTCAGAAGCATGAAACAAGACCTATACCTTACACCATATACAAAAACAAACTCAATGTTTATTAAAGACCTAAATGAGAAACGTAGATCTATAAAGATCATCAATGAAAAATTAGGGACAAACTTAGGGGCTCTAATACATGGTATAAATATACTACAACATAACTGACAACACACAAACAGAAGAAGACAAGATAGATGGCTGAGACCTCCTAAAAATTACACACTTATGTGACCAGTCACTGGAGAAGGATATCATGTTTGGTAGGGTGTAGGGTCAGAGGAAAAGAGGAAGACCCCCAGTGAGATGGATTGGAAAAGTGGCAGCATCAATGGGCTCAAGCATGGCAACAGTAGT